TTGTCGTGGTAGTAGTAGTAGTAGTAGTAGTAGTGCTGGTAGTAGTAGTCGTAGCAGCCGCAGAAGCAGCAGCAGCAGCAGCAGCAGCAGCAGTCATCGTCGTCGGAGTCGTAGTGGTAGTCGCAGTAGTCGCAGTAGTCGCAGTAGTCGTCGTAGCAGCCGAAGTTGCCGTAGGTTGTCGTCGTCGTAGCAGCAGCAGCAGCAGCAGCAGCAGCAGCAGCAGCATAGCAGTAGCAGTAGCAGTAGGAGCAACAATAGCAGCAGTCCTCGTCGTCGTCACAGAGGAAGCAGTATGGTCCTGGTGATGATGGTTGGCAGGGCTTCAAAAGCTGCAGCAAGGATCGGTTTGGTTGAGCTTAAAAGTGCCCGAATTAGCTAGATCGTCGCAGCAGCAGCGGTGCTGGTAGTAATAGTGGTGGTCGTCGTTGCAACCGTAGCAGCGATAGCATCAGTAAACTGTACTGAAAATCAGTGATTGAAGCGACCAATTAATAAAATCTCCGCAATGGGACATCAGTTGTGCTAGAAGCAAAATTGATATAACAGATACTCGCAGGCACAGAGGCAACAGCGAGGAAAACAACTTTCGCGGCAGCGGAAGCTGCAGCCAACGGAAGCTGCCTGCAATGAGGGCCCGGCCTCTGGGATGCCCGTCACGGCCACGGCAGAAACTCGGTCCCCTACGGCAACCAGCACCTCGTAGGAGTCGAAGACATGTCTCCCAGCCACCGTCTCATACACGACCCCTGCGGCGACAGTCGGAAGCGGTCCCAGCTTCTTCAGATAGCTTTCTCTCAGCTCGCAGTCTGAAGAGCCCGTGTCCACCAAGGCCATGTTCACAAAGGAGCCACCCTTTTCCGGCGTGAAGGGTGACATGAACATGCAATGCACGTACGTCACGGGAATAATTGGTGACCTCAAGTTGGCAAGCTCCCTTCAGTACCAAGACTTAGTGACCCCTCCCGAATTGACAGGACCTTCAAGCAGCCAGTCAATCACGAGAAAGCCTTCCATTTCGGTCATGAATCCCGTGCGGATCCACGTCACAGGGCTGGGCATCCGCGATCTTTGGCAGACCCTCCAACATGAGTGGCATCGCACAGCCGGTACCTGGTAGCCATCGCGGCTGTAGCGCAGCCTGGCCGTGCCGGTAAGACGACCACATCTGGCTCAGGGGTCCCACGAAGGGAGCTGAGGGCGGGAGAGCAGCCCACGGCCGTGAGCTAGCAACATGCAGCTGGCCCATTTCCAGGTACGTCGGCGTTCCTTCGCGTCGCTCGCCTCCTGGTTCGGGCGCCTGCGTGCCAGGTTGCGCGACTTCAAGGCGAAACTGCAACCAAGGATAACCTATCTGTTCACAGATGGAACGCCATGCGGGACTGGTGTGTCAGGACAACACACCTGGATGAACTAACCCACACAACCGCCCTGGCAGGTTTCGGACTGCCTTGGGCACCAGCCTTCGTGTAGGGCAGTCGACCATTAAGCCCAGGGCTGCAATGGCCATGTGCCCAAGCAGAGCCTGCCAGGGGCTCCCACTTCCCACTTCCGGGTGCTCCGAATCTGACGGACCCGCCACCGTCCTCATCTGAGCAGGGCTCCTCAGCACCTGCCTGGAATCGCTCCTGAATTGCTCGCTTTCTGAAAGATGTGGAGATGCGTTTAAGAGGTCCTCCGGCACAACAGTGAGCACCGCAGCACATCGATGGCCATCAAGGGTCGCCACCACCTTCACTGGACGATGGTAAAGACAGTTTCAATGAATTGGCCCAAGCCTCGTAAGCATCGTAGGCCTCTCCGCCAGTTGAGGTCTCGTACATGACCTGGGAACGGTCCATGGGCTCCCAGTCCCAGCTATACGGATCCCAAGCAGGTCCCCTGGGCCCTGGACACCTCTCTCCACGATGGGCAATTCAGGGAGTCGCCTCAGCAAGCCTTCCCTCAGCTCGCAGTCGGAAGAGCCCGTGTCGACCAAGGCACGCTCCACCACCTCAGACACAAAGGCCAAGGCACGCTTTGAAAAAATGTCCCAACTCACGGAGAACAAGCGGATGCACATCTCCTTCCCAGTGGCGATGCAGGGGCCATCTGGAGCGCTGGGCGCGGAGAAGGCGCAGCGGGCGAAGACCAGGCCGCTGTTCGGCCGAAGAACTCGGCCAGGGCTGCTATGAACAGCCGCGGCCTTCAAAACTGGGCGTAGATCGAGGATGCTCACAATGCGGATGACCCCGCCTGCTTGGTGGGGGCAGGAAGCGGTACGGCACACCGCACTCGACGCAACCAGCGCGGTGCGTCAGAAATGCCGGGAGCGCCGCCACCGGAAATCGCAGAGCCTGCTGCCGAGGAAGGCGGCATTTCTGCCGACTCGGTTGACTCTGCGGCTGCTGCACCTGCCCGGCGACTGAAGACGGAACCGATACGCGAATGAAAAGCAGCCGTCTGGCTGTGTAGCCTTTCCCTCGAGTGCAACAACAAAGAACCTTACTTCAGGTGCCACCCTATCCTTTTAATCCTTTTGTGTCTTGCTAGAACGACGCAGATAGCTTTGTGGTACCTGCTGGCACGACGCGGTCATATGAACCTCTGGCCATGTGCTTGCTCGAGGCTTCAGCCAGAACAAAAGACACGTTGTCACGTCTCTGTGGATGCATGTCGATACCTCTAGGTGGAAAGAAGCGCGACGACGACCTATCTCGACTACTCGCTCACCGGGAAAGCACTGGTCCCTCTTCAGGCTCAACAGAACCCTCGTCACGAACAACAACCGCGACATCATTTCAAACGTCTTGCAGCACCTGTCCCGAAGACCGAGCCCATGGCTTCTATCTACAGCACAGGAGTTGAGGCTGCTCTCATTATTGCCGCTGTTTGGCTTCTCGTTCCTGTCACAGCCATTGCTACTGTTGCTACTTTGTTATCAGTAATCTGTTATGTGTTGCTCTTATTGTTCTTAGTAGTAGTGGTGGTGGTGGTGGT